GGGGAGGACGTCCACTCCCAGAATTCCCGAGCCAGTATCCTTTAAGAGGGGAGAACTTCAACTCCCAGAATCCCCCAGCCAGCCATGCTTTTAGAGGGGAGGACTTCCACTTCCAGAATCCCCTAACTGACATGTTTTAAAAAGAGAGGACGAACTCCCAGAATCCCCGAGCTGGCATACTTTAAGAGGGGTGGACTTCCACTCCCAGAATCCCCTAACTGACATGTTTTAAAAAGAGAGGACGAACTCCCAGAATCCCCGAGCTGGCATACTTTAAGAGGGGTGGATTTGAGCTCCCAGAATCCCCCAGCCGGCATGCTTTAAGAAGGATGGACTTCCACTCCCTGAATCCCCCAACTGGCATGTTTTAAGAGAGGTGGACTTCAATTCCCAGAATCCCCCAGTCAGCCATGCTTTAAGAGGGGAGGATTTCCACTCCCAGAATTCCCGAGCCGGCATGCTTTAAGAGGGGTGGACTTTTGCTCCCAGAATCCCCCAGCTGGCATGCTTTAAGGGGAAAGGACTTCAACTCCCAGAATCCCCCAGCCGGTACGCTTTAAGTGGGGGAACTTCCACTCCCAGAATTCCCTGGCCAGCTTGGTTTAAGTTTGGAGGACTTCAACTCCCAGAATCCCCCAGCCGGCCTGCTTTAGTAGGGGTGGACTTCCACTCCCAGAATTCCCCAGCCGGCCTGCTTTAAGAGGGGTGGACTTCCTCTCAGTTTGCTGCCCAAGGAATTCTGGGAGTTGATGTCCACCCATCTCCATTGGAGACGACAGCAAAGCTGTAGGGTTTTTCTATTTCTGGCTTCAGATTCAGTGACTGAAAATTCCTATCAGGAGGAATTTGGCTCTACGAGCCCCGGAGTATGTCCTCTGTGTCCTTTGCCTTCCACCGATGACTAAGCTCCGAGTTCCACCGAGTCTGCTCGGAGTAGTAGGGAATCATCAAACAGGAAACAAACCAAGATGGAGTTTTAACCGTCTTTAGACAGTCTAGACCAGATTTTAAAAGTCGGCAATTACCTCTTTATTTATTGGTCGTTCAGGTGATCCTCGGCTTAACAACCACGATCCAGCCCAAAATTTCTGTCGTTAAACGGGACAGTTCTTCAGTCAGTTTTGTCCCATTTTACAGCCTTCCCACCGTCGTTAAGTGAATCACTGCCTTCCCCCATTCACTTTGCTAGTCAGATGGCCACAAAAGACAGTCACCTGATCCGGAACGCTTGACTTTGCTTGTCCGACGGTCGCTAAAGTGGATCACGTGACCCCGGGACACTGTGACCCGTCATAAATACGAGTCGGTTGCTAAGCGTCTGAATTTTAACCACGTGGCCCCAGTATGCTGCGACCGTCATAACTACGAGTCGGCTGCCGAGCATCTGAATTTTGATCACTTGCCCAAGGGATGGTGCTACCGTCATAAATACGAGTCGGTTGCCGAGCGTCTGGATTTCGATCACGTGACCCCGGGACGCTGCGACCGTCATAAAAATGAGTCAATGCCCTAGCATCTGAATTTTGATTCCGTGGAGCAACGGTCGTAAGGGTGAAAAACAGTCCCGAGTCAAATTTTTTTCCAGCGCCGTTGGAACTTGGAACGGTCACTAAACGAAACCGTCGTAAGTCGAGGATTATCTGTCAGCTGTGGTTTTTTTCAATTAAAAAAATTCCTCAGTCGTGGTTAAGGCAGCTGAAGGACTGTATTGAAAGTGAGAGGGAAAATCGTTAAAAAAAGAAAAAGGCCATTTAGATGCAGAGAAAATCCAGGAAGAAAGTCCTCGAGTTAGGACGATTTGTTTAGTTGCTGTTGGAAATTAGAATGGTGATCAGAATTCAGACGCTTGGCAACCGACTCGTACTTACGACGGTCGCAGCGTCCTGGGGACATGTAATCAAAATTCAGATGCTTGGAAACAGACTCGTATTTACGACAGTCGCAGCGTTCTCGGTCATATGATCAAAATTCAGACGCTTGGCAACCGACTCGTACTTACGACGGTCGCAGCGTCCTGGGGACATGTAATCAAAATTCAGACACTCGGCAACCGACTCGTATTTACGACGGTCGCAGCATCCCGGGATTACGTCATCAAAATTCATACGCTCGGCAACCGACTCGGTTTTACGACGGTCACAGCGTTCCAGTGTCATGTGATTACAATTCAGATGCTTATCAACTGACTCGTATTTATGACGGGCCACAGTGTCGCGGGGTCACGTGATCCCCTTTAGCGACCGCCGGAGAAGCAAAGTCAAAGCCGGATTCATTTTACGAAGTCACCCCTGCGTTGATTCATTTAGTAACGGTGGCACGCCAGGTCGCAAAATGGGGTTAAACTCAACCACTGTCTTGCTTAGCAACGGAAGCCCTGTGCTACGTAAGTCGAGGAGCACCTCTGTTTGTGAAACAGAGGGCGTCGTAACTTGGCAAAAAAACCCCGGTCCTGTCCCCCTTTTTTTTTTCCTTCAGTGCGAATGTCGCGTCAAACGGTCACTAAGCATACCGTCGTAAATCAGTTTTATGGCAATACAACACACAACGTGATCGGAAAATGTTGTTGGTCGTCTGGGGAGGTTTCATTTGGTGGCTGGAATAAAATCTCTTGTTTTTAATTGCTTGGCAAGTCCCGTCATGTGTCTGGAACGCTGCCTCGGCATTCGAGGGCTTGGCGTTACGTGGGAGTAAATTCCTGGAATCCTGGTGTGCAGAGCTGGGTCAGGATCATTTAAGCCGGCAGGCTTTCATAGGGGGGGACTTCCACTCCCAGAATCCCCCAGCCGGTGTGCTTTAATCGGGGAGGACTTCGACTCCCAGAATCTCCCAACCGGCTATAAGAGGGGAGGACTTCCACTCCCAGAATCCCCCATCCGGCATGCTTTAATAGGGGAGGACTTCAACTCCCAGAATCCCCCAACCGGCATGCTTTAAAAGGGAGGATTTCAGCTCCCAGAATCCCCCAGTCGGCTTGCTTTAAGAGAGGAGGACTTCAACTCCCAGAATCCCCCAGCCAGCATGCTTTAAGAGGGGAGGACTTCAACTCCCAGAATCCCTCATCCGGCACGCTTTAAGATGGGAGGACTTCCACTCCCAGAATCTCCCAGCCGGCCTGCTTTAAGAGGGGAGGACTTCAACTCCCAGAATTCCCTAGCCGGAATATTTTAATAGGGGAGGACTTCAACTCCCAGAATCCCCCAACTGGCATGCTTTAAAAGGGAGGATTTCAGCTCCCAGAATCCCCCAGTTGGCCTGCTTTAAGAGAGGAGGACTTCCACTCCCAGAATCTCCCAGCCGGCCTGCTTTAAGAGGGGAGGACTTCAACTCCCAGAATGCCCCAGCCGGTGTGCTTTAAGAGGTGAGGACTTCAACTCCCAGAATCCCCCAGCTGGCGTGCTTTAAGAGGTGAGGACTTCAACTCCCAGAATCCCCCAGCCGGCGTGCTTTAAGAGGTGAGGACTTCAACTCCCAGAATCCCCCAGCCGGCGTGCTTTAAGAGGGGAGGACTTTTACTCCCAGAATCCCCTTACCTGCATGCTTTAAGAGGGGGGACTTCCACTCCCAGAATCCCCCAGCAGGCCTGCTTTAAGAGGGTGGGCTTCCACTCCCAGAATCCCCCAGCGGGCATCCTTTGAGTTCTTTGGTATCGATGATTTTTAAGGAATTCTGGGAGTTGAAGTCCACCCACCCATCTTAGAGGACTAGATTTCATTAAGCCAAATGTCAGCCCTTTCAAGATTCTGCTCCAGAAAGCCATCGTCTCTAAATCTGTGTTTGTACATGTGATTGCGGGGTGTGTCCAGTTGTGTGTCTTTGTGGAACTGGGACCCACACAACACACAGCTTTCCGGGCTTCTCAGGTGACTTCAGCCCAAGGGCCCCATGGCAAAGATGATTCGTGCGAATTACTTTGGGTTGCGGGGGCGTAAAAGCGGATCCGCCGACGTGACCGTCATAAATACGAGTCGGTTGCCAAGGGTCCAAAGCTTGAACGCATGAGCGTAGACGGGGGTACTTAGCACGTTTCATGTGGGGCTCATTTGTCGTCGTAAAGTGGAGGACCGCCCGTAAAAGAAATGAACTTAGCAAGATAATTATCCGATAATGTCCGAAATGGGATAGGGTTTCCTGCCTGAGCAGCGGGTTGGACTAGATGACCTCAGGGATCCCTTCCAACTCTGTCGTTCTTGTAAAATATTCAAACAAAAAAAAAAAGTGTTTTCTCCCTTTAGGATTTAAAACAAATTGAAATAATATAGAGGATTCTCTTAATATGAATTATGATAAAGATTAATGAGTTAACAGAGATTGGACAGCCATTTGTCTGAAATGGTGTAGGGTTTCCTGCCTGATCAGGGGGTTGGACTAGATGACCTCCATGGTCCCTTTCAACTTTATTATTATTATTATTATTATTATTATTATTATTATTATTATTATTATTATTATTATTATTATTAGGTTTCGTGCCTGAGCAGGGGTTTGGACTAGATGACCTCCATGGTCCCTCCCAACATCATTATTATTATTATTATTATTATTATTATTATTATTATTATTATTATTAGGTTTCCTGCCTGAGCAGGGGGTTGGACTAGATGACCTCCATGGTCCCTTCCAACTTTAGCATCATCATCATCATCATTATTATTATTATTATTATTATTATTATTATTATTATTATTATTAATACTCGCTCAATTAGAGAGACTGGCTGAAGTGCTCCCGCGCTGTCCCCCGCTTGGATCCTTCAACCCTACAAAGCGGATTCACCTAATTGAACCTAAAGAAGGTTTAAGTAGCTTGGAAATCTGGATTATTCCCTGGATAACACTTTATTTTCCGAGGGAGGGAAATCCTGAATCGCCCCCCCCATTAAAGATAATTAAAAAAAAAAAAAGAACCCTGTATGGTTAATGTGACGAGTTATTCCCGGAAGAAAAGAATTCCTTGAAAACGGAACAATGAAACAAATTTTTTGTCTTCCGTTTCGTTTGCAGAGAAGAGATTTGCGACGTTCCGGACGTGCGGAACGGTTATCGTCTTTAAGGTAAGACGGGCTTTTCGTTGTGGGAACCACGTCGCATAATTTTCCGGAACACGGGCGAAACCCGGGTTCGTGTTACCTTCCCGCCCGGATTATCCGGCTGCCTTCCGGGAGACGCGCCGAGAGAATCCGCGGCCTGAAACGAGTCGTCGTTTTGTAAGCGAGTTTGGGTAGTCCTCGGGTTATGACGGGCCTTGAGCCCCCCCCCCGTTTCCGGGGCTAAGCGAGACCTTGGGAAAGGGAGTTTGGGCCCCGTTTTACGACGTCTATCGCCGCCAAGCGTTAAGTCACTCCTTGCAGCCGTTAGTCGCAGGGTGGTACGGTGATTCTGGGTTACCTCCCCCCCCCTGTTGACTTTGCTGGTCAGAGAGGGGCCAAAGGGGAGGGCTGCGACAGTCACAAGTACGAGTCAGTTGCCCCGCCGCTGAGTTTTGATCATGTGACCCCGAGGAGGCCGCAGCGGTCCTGAGTGGGAAAAACGGCGATAGGTGGGGGGTTTTTCCAGCGCTGTTGTAACTTTGAACGGTCACTAAGCGAAGTGGGATGAGACGAGGATTGCTCCTCCCTCTCCTCCGCCTCCTCCTCTCCCTTTGCCTTTCTCCTGGCTTCACCCCCTCTCTCCTCTTCCTCCTGCTCCCTTTTCTTCACCCACCTGTTCCACCTCCCTCGCTCCCTCCCTCCCCCACCCCTTCCTCTTTTTCCCCCTCCTCCCCCCTCCGCCTCCCCTGTCCCCTCCTCCTCCCCTTCTTCCCCCTTCCTCTCCTTCCCTCTCTCCTCCTTTTCCTCCTCCCTCCCTGCCCCCTCCTTCCCCCTCCTCCCCCTTCTTCCCCCCTCCCCCTCCTTCCCTCCTCTTCCTCCCCCCTCTGCCTCCCCTGCCCCTTCCTCCCTGCCCCCTCCTTCCCACTCCTCCCCATCTTCCCCCTTCCCCCTTCTCTTCCTCTTCCCTCCTTGCCCCTCCTCTTCATCCCCCTCCTTCCCTTCTTCCCCTCCCCCTCCTTGCCCCTCCTCTTCCTCCCTCCTTGCCCCTCCTCTTCATCCCCCTCCTTCCCCTTCTTCCCCCTCCCCCTCCTTCCCCCTCCTCCTTTTCCTCCTCCCTCCCTGCCCCCTCCTCCTCATCCCCCCTCCTCCCCTTCTTCCCCCTCCCCTCCTTTTCCTTCTCCCTCCCAGCCCCCTCCTTTTCATCCCCCTCCTCCCCTTCTTCCCCCTCCCCTCCTTCCCCCTCCTCCTTTTCCTCCTCCCTCCCTGCCCCCTCCTCCCCCTCCTCCTTTTCCTCCTCCCTCCCTGCCCCCTCCTCCTCATCCCCCCTCCTCCCCTTCTTCCCCCTCCCCTCCTTTTCCTTCTCCCTCCCAGCCCCCTCCTTTTCATCCCCCTCCTCCCCTTCTTCCCCCTCCCCTCCTTCCCCCTCCTCCTTTTCCTCCTCCCTCCCTGCCCCCTCCTCTTCATCCCCCTCCTTCCCCTTCTTCCCCCTCCCCCTCCTTCCCCCTCCTCCTTTTCCTCCTCCCTCCTTGCCCCTCCTCTTCATCCCCCTCCTTCCCCTTCTTCCCCCTCCCCCTCCTTCCCCCTCCTCCTTTTCCTCCTCCCTCCCTGCCCCCTCCTCTTCATCCCCCCCTCCCTCTTCTTCCCCTCTCCCCATCCTTCCCCCTCCTCCCTTTCCTCCTCCCTCCCTGCCCCCTCCTCTTCATCCCCCTCCTTCCCCTTCTTCCCCCCTCCCCCTCCTTCCCCCTCCTCCTTTTCCTCCTCCCTCCCTGCCCCCTCCTCTTCATCCCCCCCTCCCTCTTCTTCCCCTCTCCCCCTCCTTCCCCCTCCTCCCTTTCCTCCTCCCTCCCTGCCCCCTCCTCTTCATCCCCCTCCTCCCCCTCCTTCCCCCCTCCCCCTCCTTCCCCCTCCTCCTTTTCCTCCTCCCTCCCTGCCCCCTCCTCTTCATCCCCCCCTCCCTCTTCTTCCCCTCTCCCCATCCTTCCCCCTCCTCCCTTTCCTCCTCCCTCCCTGCCCCCTCCTCTTCATCCCCCTCCTCCCCTTCTTCCCCCTCCCCCTCCTTCCCCCTCCTCCTTTTCCTCCTCCCTCCTTGCCCCTCCTCTTCATCCCCCTCCTTCCCCTTCTTCCCCCTCCCCCTCCTTCCCCCTCCTCCTTTTCCTCCTCCCTCCCTGCCCCCTCCTCTTCATCCCCCTTCTTCCCCCTGCCCCTCCTTCCCCCTCCTCCTTTTCCTCCTCCCTCCCTGCCCCCTCCTCTTCATCCCCCCCTCCCTCTTCTTCCCTCCCCCCTCCACCCTCCTTCCCCCTCCTCCTTTTCCTCCACCTTCCTCCTGGCCCCTCCTCTTCAATCCTCCCCTCCCCTCTTCTTCCCCTCATCTCCCCATCCTTCCCCCTCCTCCCTTTCCTCCTCCCTCCCTGCCCCCTCCTCTTCAATCCCCCCTCCTTCTCCTTCTTTTCCCCCTGCCCCTCCTTCCCCCTCCTCCTTTTCCTCCTCCCTCCCTGCCCCCTCCTCTTCATCCCCCCCTCCCTCTTCTTCCCCTCTCCCCCTGCTTCCCCCTCCTCCCTTTCCTCCTCCCTCCCTGCCCCCTCCTCTTCATCCCCCTCCTTCCCCTTCTTCCCCCTCCCCCTCCTTCCCCCTCCTCCTTTTCCTCCTCCCTCCTTGCCCCTCCTCTTCATCCCCCTCCTTCCCCTTCTTCCCCCTCCCCCTCCTTCCCCCTCCTCCTTTTCCTCCTCCCTCCCTGCCCCCTCCTCTTCATCCCCCCCTCCCTCTTCTTCCCCTCTCCCCCTCCTTCCCCCTCCTCCCTTTCCTCCTCCCTCCCTGCCCCCTCCTCTTCATCCCCCTCCTCCCCCTCCTTCCCCCCTCCCCCTCCTTCCCCCTCCTCCTTTTCCTCCTCCCTCCCTGCCCCCTCCTCTTCATCCCCCCCTCCCTCTTCTTCCCCTCTCCCCATCCTTCCCCCTCCTCCCTTTCCTCCTCCCTCCCTGCCCCCTCCTCTTCATCCCCCTCCTTCCCCTTCTTCCCCCCTCCCCCTCCTTCCCCCTCCTCCTTTTCCTCCTCCCTCCCTGCCCCCTCCTCTTCATCCCCCCCTCCCTCTTCTTCCCCTCTCCCCCTCCTTCCCCCTCCTCCCTTTCCTCCTCCCTCCCTGCCCCCTCCTCTTCATCCCCCTCCTCCCCCTCCTTCCCCCCTCCCCCTCCTTCCCCCTCCTCCTTTTCCTCCTCCCTCCCTGCCCCCTCCTCTTCATCCCCCTCCCTCACCTTCTCCCTCCCTGCCTTTCCTCTTCATTCCCCTCCTTCCCCTCCTCCTTTTCCTCCCTCCCTCCCCACCCCCTTCTCTTCTTCCCCCTCCTCCCTTTCCTTCTCCTTCCCCCTCTTTCCCCTCCTCTTCCTCCTACCCCCTCCCCTCCTCCTTTTCCTGCACCCCCCTGATAATGTTCCCTAGTTGGGTCACGAAACGCCTGGGAGGGAACCACCCAGTTCGGAGAGAGCCACAGGGACCTCCACAGTTGTCCTCTTCCTGTCCATCCTCTTGGTCCTCTCCCATCTCCTCCTCCTCCTCCTCCTCCTCCTCCCTTCTAGCCCTGATGATGTTCCCTAGATGGGTCATGAGACGTCTGGAAAGAAAAAAGCCAAGCTCAGAGATCACCAAGGACCCCACAGTCCTTCCTCCTCCTCCTCCTCCCTTCTAGCACCGATGACGTTTCCTAGTTGGGTCATGAGACGTCTGCAAGGGAACCACCCAGCTCAGAGAGCACCAGGGACCCCACAGTCTGTCCTTCCTCCTCCTCTTCCTCCTCCTCACACCGATGACGTTCCCTAGTTGGGTCCTGAGACGTCTGCAAGGAAACAGCCAAGCTCCTCCTCCTCCTTCCTCCTCCTCTTTCAACTGATGACGTCACCTAGTTGGGTCACAAAACGTCTGTAAGTCAACCACCCAGCTCACAGAGCCCCAAGGACCCCCACAGCCCTCCTCTTCCCCTTCCCCCTGTCCCTCCTGCTCATCCTCCTCTCTCCTCCTCCTCCTTCACCCGATAATGTTCCCTAGTTGGGTCATGAGACGTCTGCAAGGAAACCAGCCAGATCGGAGGTCTCCAAGGACCCCACATTTCATCCCAGAGTTGTAAAAAATCTCTTCCGTTAGTATTTTCCCTCCCCTCCATTTTGTTCTCATCCCCTGGAAAGGACCGAAAATGCCAGCTCACCGGATCCCCATGAGCTCATTTGGAATTTATTATCCCAGATTTGTGTGAAAAGCCTTACACATACTCTCTCTCTTCTTTTTTTTTGGGAAAGAAAAATAAAAATTAAACCTTTGAAAGACAAGACTTTAAACCTTAAAAACGATCCTATATACGCTGGTCCTTAACCCCATGCCAGCTTTTTTTTAACTTCCGTGGGCTTAAATGCACGCGACGCCACGCGACGCCATCTCGGTTAGATCCTGGCTTGAAGCTGGCAGGGAGCGACAGCCCGGATGGCGGCTTGGTTTATGAATTGATATCGATATTTAATGAATTTAAGAAGAGTGGGTTTATCGGGAAATCCGGTCCAGGCTGCTTCGTGGCTCGATTACAACGTTGGGAAAGTTTTTCGTGGAGTTTTTCTCGCCTCCGGAAAAGTCCTGTGGGGGGGGGGAGAGGACAGGCGAGGGAATTAGCTCATTTTTTTTTCGAGGCGGAACGGAGTCGACACAATTGGGCCCTTGCCAGAAGATGCAGGAATATTCCTTTTAAGGGATTTGCGGCCTCTCCGATCGGAGGAGGCGAAGGAAGCCGAGGAAATTCCATAGGAAGAAATGGCGGTCTTTCTCCCTCGGCGGTATAATCTGATTTTTTCCAGATGTTGCAGTACCTCACATCTGGAAAGACCGGCAGCTTCTCGAGAGCGGCCATCTTGACCCGGCCTGTGGGGAATTCGATAGAGGGAGTCCTCAATTTAACGACCGCAACTGAGATCTAATTTCCATTGCTCAGCATAAAGATCGGCAGCCTTGGCGACTTGAAGACTTCGTGGACTTCAATTCCCAGAATTCCTCAG